GATTTTCACCCCACACCAGCACCGGACAGAGGAGGAGGAGCGCTCCGACAGCCTGACAGAAAAAATAAAAGCTACTTCACGCAAACAGACTGAAGTTTTATCATTAAGGAACACAGCTGTAGTCTTTGACACTTCGTGTCTTTTCAGTCATTATTTCCTGGTGATTTACATATCAGGGCTCTAGAGTGCGACCAATTTGGTCGTAAATGCAACCTGATTTCCTAATAATACGACTAAAAACACACACGTTTGTTGTTCTATCCTCATGGGGACTTTGCATTGACTTCCATTCATTTCCCTGTCATTTCTATAGCCAAACCTAACCTCCCAGGTAGGCTACACACCTGACCCAAACCCTAACCTCACCAGGCTGTGTGTACCAGGTAAATGATCAATAATTGGCCCCATCATGAAGCCAAAACATGTAGGCCTGCACACACGCATAGTGAAACAACCTTAGTTTTTATCTTTTATTTTTTCCAAATTGGAGTGTGAAGAACTTGTTTTTCTTGTTAACTGTGGAGATGAAAACAAGATGTGGACGGTTGCTTGCTCTTAAGTCCATCTTGTTAATTTAACATTCGGGGTCTACTCTGTGAGCAGCAGATCATGAGGAAGCTCACCTGTATGGCAGGCCGCTGTTACACTTAATCAGTTTCACCACAGTTACATTCCAAGTATCTGATATAGGTTCTTCTGGGTCTCAGGAGGATAAAACTAGACATATTAGATATTTAAGTGATATGATGTAAGATAATAAGATTCAACTAATGGTGAAATTGCAGACTTTTATGTGTTATTATTTAAAAAAATCTGCACAACCTTTTAATAAATATCAGTAATATTTCTGATATTAATCATTATTCTCTGTTCATCTTTCTGGTTTATCCAAGGCCAAAGATCCATCTTGTACAATTCTGGTTCAAATAAAGAACTTTCTGTTTACTAGATTGTTAACTAATTATTTTTGAGTTAATGTTGCCTTAATGAACAGTGATTAAAAAAATAACCTGTAAAACTCTGATGTTAGGCGACGTGGTTGAAAATTTGAGTGCACCTAACTATTGTGCTGGTGCGCCTAAGAAAAAATGTTAGGRGCACCGGTGCAACCAGTGCAAAAAGTTAGTCCAGAGCAGTGTTTCCCAAAGTTGGGGTCGGGACCCAAAGTGGGGTCCCGAAACATCAAAGTGGGGTCCTGAAAAAACATTTCTGAATTAATTACATTTTTGCCTTAGTTGTTACAAAGGAGTGAGGTTAGTATATTTAAAATGGATAAATGTTGTATAAAAAATATTGTTACTATGCCCATGTTTAGTTGACCTGATACAAATGTTTATCATCCAGCTGGGGGCTCAGGTCTCTGCTACTGTTGTTTTGTGGGTCAAAATCTGAAAAGTTTGGGAACCACTGCACTTTGGTTCCCAAAGTTGGGTTTGGGACCCAATTATGAGTCATGAAGCACCTTGGATAATCTCCAGAAATCAATTTAAAGGGTAATAAAATAATTGATGCTGCAATATTTTTTTCTATAATTATTACAAAAACACAAAACAAGTATAAATAAGTATTTAAATTTGTGTACAAGCTGTTTAAATAGTCAAAAAGCCTGTGTTTTTAGGGTTATTAACGTAGTTCGTGTACTCAGACCAGTAATATTTGGGGTCACAAGTTTTTGCCATGAAAATTTTGTGGGTCAGAAGATAAAAAGTTTGAAAACCACTGGTCTAGAGCAATGGTTCCAAACTTTTTGTCTTCTTACCCACAAAATATCRATGGCAAAAACTTGTGACCCCAAATATTACTGGTCTGAGTACCGTATTTTTTGGACTATAAGCCGCACCCGCCATTTAAAAAAAAAATCCGCCAACATTAACATATAAGCCGCACCAGACTATAAGCCGCACCCCCAACATAAAAAAAACAGTACACCCAAATTTGCTGTCAAAAAAGTGAATTCAACATCAAAACATAAAAAGCAAACCTTTAGGAATTAAAGTTCGGAGGAATACAGTTCATTTAACTGACCTTATTTTAGTAGTTTTCTTTAACAGTTTCTGGTCCAACAAAACGTCTCATTCATCGTCCTCCGGCGCACTAAAACCATCGAAGTCCTCCTCTTCAGTGTCGGAGTTAAACAAGCTGAGAAAAGCTGCGTCACACAGCGGTGTCTGTTCAGTGCTGCTTTCTGTGTCACTGTCCTCCCGGGGTAATGCTGGCTCTGAAGCTGTGCTTGGAAAGCCCTCCCGCTCCAGCATACGTCACTGCATGGGATTTCTTCCCCGGGGAGTGCAATGAGGAAAAAAAAGTCCGCGCTCTTCACTCGACGTTTATCCACAAACTGGTCCTGGATTAAGCGCCAAAGTTTTTATCAGTCAGATTCCACCGTGAAAAATGTCTGTTTTATCCCCTTTTATGAGTTTTTGACCATTGACTATCTTTAAATCGCTGCTTCCTGTTTCAACAGTCGGCTCTGGAAGCGATCGCTTTTTTCTTCTTTTTTTTCCTTTCTTTTTTGAAGTGAGTGGTTGAAGCAAATGGAGCATAAGAGCCCCCTGGTGGCTGAAGAAAAAAATCCACGTATAAGCCGCATCGGACTATAAGCCACATGGTTCAAAGTTCAGAAAAAAGTCGCGGCTTATAGTCCGAAAAATACGGTACATGAACTTTGTTAATAAACCTAAAAACACAGGCTTTTTGACAGTCCAAGCAGCTTATACACAAATATAAATACTTATTTTTACTTATTTTGTGTTTTTGTAATAATTATAGGGAAAATATTACATCAGCAATTATTTTATTACCCTTTAAATTGATTTCTGGAGATVATCCAAGGTGCTTCATGACCCATAATTGGGTCCCAAGCCCAACTTTGGGAACCAAAGTGCAGTGGTTCCCAAACTTTTCAGCTTTTGACCCACAGAATAGTACAAAACAGTAGTAGAGACCTGTGCCTCCAACTATTTTTGGATGATAAACATTTGTATCAGGTCAACAAAACATGGGCATAGCAACAATATTTTTT